GACCACGAAGAAGGCGTGCCTCGGCCGCAGGGCTACAGGCCGGTCTAGCGCTGACTGGGCGCGCCTGCCGTGCGCTGGGTGGCGACCCCGCAGAGCTGGCAAGCCTGGTGCTTGCTCGCCTCAGTTCCTGCAACCGACACGGCTCCGTCTGGACCCCGTTTTTGCAGGGCCGATACACCAACAAGCAGGGCCGCGTGCGCGAGGGCGCTGCCATGTTCTGGCGGACGTCGCGGTTCGAGCTCGCGGCGGCGCGAGATCTGTCCATGAGGGTGGGTGGGGGTGCAGGTGGGGTGGGGGAGAGGCGTGCCGAGGGCTGCAACAGAGGGAAGGGGCAAGGAGAGGGTGGTCAAGGGAGGGGAAGGGGGAGGGGTGGGGATAAGAGAGAGGTGCGGCTGGGCAGCGGAGATGAGGGGGCCGTCACTGTTGAAAGCAGGGCTTGCATGGGCCCGGCGATCCCTCAACGTGCTTCAAGGCACACACAAGGGAGGCCCTCGAGTGGGGCTCGCTGGATTTGGCGGTTGACGGCCAGCCTTACCCCCACCCCGCGCCTCCTGCACCCCCACGTCCTCGACCCCCTTTCCCCCCTTGCTCCCCCCCTCACGCCCGCCCGGCCCGCAGGACGTCTTCCGCCGGCCGCTGGCGCCGCCCCACGCCCAGTTTGAGCCGATGCTGGCCAGCTCGCCCCACCTGGCCGAGGCCTTGCAGAAGGTGACCACAGTCGCACAACTCGTCCTGCTGGTGCCCACAGGCGGCAGCCAGGGACCCAGCGGCAGCGGCGGCGGCACGGGCGACGGGCAGACAGGGGCGGCGGAGGCGGAGGCGGCGGCGGCGGCGCAGGGTGCGGGTGGCGCCCCGCCGCTGGTGGTGGTGAACACGCATTTGTTCTTCCACCCGTTTGCGCCGCACATCCGGTCGATGCACGTGGCCGCGATGCTGGAGGAGGCGGCGGCTGCCATGCAGGTGGATGGGCGGGCGTAGGCCGGGGCAGGGGCGTGGTGACAAATTTGTGTGAGCAGCCCGCCAACGTCTGCGAGTCAAACTCTTTGTGCACATCCACGATCTTGACCCTTGGGCCCTCTTGCAAAGGACTCCCGGCCACGCCTCTCGACCCGCTGACAAGCGCGGACGCTGCCTCCCACCCCGCAATGCCAGGAGTGGGCGGCGGCGCCGGGCCTGCAGCCGCTGCTTGCGGGCCGCGGGCCGCCGACGCCGCTGTTTGTGGGGGACCTGAACAGCGACCTGAACGATGGTATCCCCGGGGTGGTTGAGCTGCTGCGCAGCGGGCGGCTGCCCGCGGACTACTGGGACTGGCGGGAGGGGGCGGCCTTCAGGCGCGTTGGCGTGCTCATGCGCTTCTGTGTGTGTGTGTGTGTGTGTGTGTGTGTGTGTGCGCCAGTGTTCATGATGCATGCATGTGCCAAAGTGAACCTGTGGAAGTGGATGTGTGCTTATTGCAGTGTTGTGCTTGGTACTGATCCATGAGGCAGGAGTTTTTGCGCAAGTTGCATGTGCTGGACACATTCCTGCTATGCGAGGGGCGTTGCCTGATACCGAGCATGGATGATCCAAGCTCACGCCTGCACATCTCGTCCCGCTTCCTGTGCCAGATGGGGCAAAGAAGAGGGGGAGTATGCCGAAGAGCAGCAGCAGCAGCAGCAGCAGCAGCAGCAGCAGCAGCAGCAGCAGCAGCAGCAGCAGCACGAGCAGCCCACCCTCCCGCTCCGCGACGGCCACGACTTCGACCCCCCCGCCGCCAGCCCCTCCGCGCCGCTCGAGGCGCCCTCCTCCGCCGCGCACGGCGTGGACCTCACCGCTCCCTTCGCGCTCGCCAGCGCCGACGCCCTGGCCACGCCCTACACAAACTACACCAGCGGCTACAAGGCGCTCCTGGACTATGTCTGGCACGACCCACAGGTGCTGGCGGTTTCCCGGCAGCTGCCCTGCCCGCCCCCGCAGCTTCTCGGCGGCTTTGTGCCGTCGCCGCGCTTCCCGTCGGACCACCTGGCGGTGGCGTATGACCTCGTGCCGCGCGCTGCCGCAGAGGCGGCCGCGGCCGCGGCCGCGGCCAGGGTCGCCAACACGGCCGCGGCCAACGGCGGGTGCCAGGTGCTGCCAGCCCTGCCCGAGCGCGCGGCGGGCGCCGCGGCGGCGCTGAGAAGCGGCGGCGCGGCGCTGCTGCCGGCGGGCACGGGGTACGCCGCCGCAGCGGACGCCGCGAGCCCTGAGGGCGCGCGGCGGCTGGCCGCCTTGCGGGGTGGCAGCGGCGAGGGGAAGAAGCGCGCGGCCGTGCTCGCGGTCGCGGACTGCGCTGATGTGGCGCGATACTGCCAGGTGGACGGCCTGCCCGCCGGCCTCCTGGGGTCGCTCATCCCAGGGCCAGTGACCGTGCTGCTGCCTCTGGCGGAGGGCGCACCACTCGCCCCAGAGCTGCTGCAGCTGCTGCTGCCGCACGGTGGCACGGGCAAGGCTCGCGCCGCCACCGCCGCTACGGTTATCGGTGTGCGCGTGCCGCAATGCGAGTTCACAAGGGCCGTGGCGCGGGAACTCGGCGGCGCGCTGGTGCTGGTGAGCGCTGTCGACAGCAGCAGCGACGGCAGCGGCGGCGGTGGCGGCGGCAGCAACAGCAGCGGCAGCGGCAGCGGCAGAGGGCAGGAGGCGCTGGAGCTGTTGGAATGCGGGTGAGGACCGCGCAGCTTGACTGGGGTGGGGGAACCAAGGCCTGGAGTGGGATGCAACGTGGAGGTGGGGCCGCGCTCGGCATCACTTGGCTGCGGCTTTACACACCAGGCAGCACTGCCAACCACCCACTTTCCTGTGCCAACCTTGGTCTTGCCATGGCACACACATATGTGGTTAGACACACACACACACACACAACCACACAATGCCGCATGCACACCGCAGGGACGACCTCTTGGCGATGTGCTCTGTGGCATACGACGGCGGCCGCCTGTCCGCGCCCAGCCGCGACGGGCCCACAGTTGTAGACCTCAGCACTCTGGCGGCTGGCGCTCCGCCGGCCAGCAAAGACGACAACAGCATCAGCGGCAGCGGTAGCAGGCAGTACAAGATATTGCAAGAGGGGGCCGCGGGTGGAGGCGTGGCGGCCATCCTGCAGGGGTGCTTCGGCCTCGCGCGGATGTAATGCCCGTTGGCCAGCACGCATCCCTGCCTTGCGCTCCCGAGGGCAAGCGAGTGCCCACTCAGAACAAAAATCGTAATTGTGGTCCTGGGTGTCACCCTTGACACAGCAACCATCCTATGATCCTTCCTGCGTCCGTGCGTCGACGGCCCTGATGAGCACCGTCGTCAACCGCCGACTCGTCAGCTGCAAGGTTCCAGTCCCTGTACAGCACTCTGGTCCTTGAAAGCACTTCTTCTTGTTGGAGAGTTGACCTTGCGTGGCTCCCTCAAGCCGCGGCATGTGCGCTGTCAGGTATGGCTGGTGGCACCGGCATCACTACCAACTCAGCCACGATGCTGCTGACGGCTTTGAGCCATTCAAGCTCGTGCCGGTGAAGTCGTTTTGTAGGATTTCAGTGCGCTCTGCCAACGTCGCGAGACAAAACGCTTGCGCGCGTCTCGGCTGATCAACCGTGCGCCGGGCCAAACTGTCGATCTGGTGCAAGCACACTTAAGATAGAGTTGTGATAGTCTTCTACCCTGCGCGTACCCCGGTTTGGCAGATCTGTCGCGTCTAGGGCGCTGCAATGCCGAGCCAGGGCAGTCAGGCCGGGGCAGCGGCCACCTCAGATGGAGGAGCTGGTGGAGGACGCCAGCTGCAGTCGGTAAGCATGGCCCCCGCTGCAGCGCCACGCGGGGACCGGCGCTCGCCTGCAACCTGGTGCCACTGGGTGTGCGCGCTGCAACCGCCCCTCAAAACACCCGGCCCCGTTCCAAGCCCGCCCCGGTCGCGTCGCCGCACGTCCCCGCAGTTCTCCTCCTTCCTCCCGGGCCTGACCATGCCCGCCGGCACACACCACGCGGCCGCGGCCGCGGCGTCTGAGCTGGGGGACTTGACTGACAGGGAGGTGGAGCAGGCTTACGTGCAGGCGGAGGAGGAGCGCCTGCAGGTGGGTGCGCGGGACACATGGTGTTGCTCAGCATGGGGAAAAGCAGTTTGGGATGCGTGAGGAGTGCGACGCATGGTCGATGCTTGAGCACGCGGGCGTGTGTATCGACGGTGCCCACATGTGCGCGCATCGCGTGTCCCTGAGTGTGCACGCGTGCGCGCATGCGTGTTGAAGTGAAAAGGGGTTTGCAGCATGACAAATCAACTCATGGGTGAATCCCGAGCAGTGCGGCAGCGCCGGCACACTTCACAGCCCCGCACCCGGGGCGACCTCCCCCGCCGCACCACACCCCGAGTCTCCATTTCTCGCGCGGAGAGGCCTCTGCAGCCGCCGCGCAAGCTGCCTCCCCACGCGACACCCCTTCACGCGTACGTGTGCGCGCGCTCGCGCGCACCGCCTTCCCGCAGGCCCACAGCCACAGCCTGCTGACTGACATGCTGTCCATAGAGAGCGTCCTCATGGATGCGGCCTCAGCCGTGGTGGACGACTCATTCAATAAGTGCTTCACCAGCTCCCCCTCTGACAACTGGAACTGGAACCTCTACCTCTTCCCGATGTGGTGCGGCCCCCGGAGACGCTTGCGGCAGGGTGGTGGGGGCCTGGGCGCTGCGAGCGGGGCGTGCGCGGCAGCCCGTGCACGGGCAGGTGGCAAAGGTTGTGGTTCCCAGGGGGGGCCTGCGCTGGGCGGCGGGTGGGGCTTGGCGGGAATGGCAAAGGCGGGTTGGCTCGGCTCAGGGGCCGGCCAGGGTGCGCCGCTGGGGCGAGCAGGCCAGCAGAGCAGGGTCGTGCACAGGCGCGAAGGCAGCTGGGCGTATTTCGCGAGCATGCACAACCTGGCTCACCCCTCCCTGCCTGACCCCTGCACGCGCCACCCTCCGCCCTCGCACTCGGCCCCCCCAAAGGCTGCTGGGCGTCTTTTTCCGCTACGCCATCCTGTTCCCCCTCCGCCTGGCGGGCCTGATGGGCACGTTTGGCGTCTTCTTCGCGCTCTTCTTCAGCGTCAAGGCCTTCTGGCCGGCCGGGCGCAACAAGCTCGCGCTGGAGCAGCGGCTGATCAGGTTCATGTGCGGCGGGTTCGTGGCGTCGTGGACGGGGGTCATCCGCTTCCACGGGCCGCGGCCGACGCGCGGGCCGGGCAGGTGGGCGGCGGGGCGGTAGGGTTGGGCTGGGTGGAGTTTGGCTGGGTGCGGTACGATTGCGGTTGTGTGTGTGTCCTGTATATGTGTGTGTTGTGCACGTTGGTGTTGAGTGGTGTGTTCGTGTGTGTGGTGTTTGAGTGAGTGTGTGTGTGTGTTGGGTGCTCGCGTGGTTTTCTTGATTGAGTTTGTAAACAGGGTGGGCGCGCTGGGTGGGGAGGGTTCTGGCTGCACCGTGAGCTCTTTGGGAGCCGGCTGCCTGGAAAAACCTCGAATGCGCAGCACCCTGGGCGCTAGGGGCCCGTTTGCCATCCCCGGGTGCCTACTCTCGCCAGACTTGGCGGAGCCTTACTGACCTGTCTGAAGTGTCCCTCTCATGAACGCCTCCCCCTCATCCCGCGCCCGACCACCAGGGTGTGGGTTGCCAACCACACGTCGATGATCGATTACATAATCCTGTCCAGCTACAGCGCGTTTGCCGTCATCATGCAGCTGCATGGCGGCTGGGTGGGGTTCCTGCAGACGAAGTGCCTCGACTCCCTGGGCTGCCTCTGGTTCAACAGGACGGAGGTGGGCGCACTCGTTTTTGTTGGGGAATGGGGGCTGGTAACCGGGCAGGTGACCAGCAGGTGTGTGGCGGCTGCGATGCTGAGGGAGGCTGCGGCCTGAGGAGTCTTCGGGCCAAGAACACAACAGAGGGCAGTTGTGTGTCGCCCGTGCCCTCCGTTGACCGCAAGGCGCGGGCGCGGCATGCTGCTCTGGCTGAGCAGCCTGGTGCATCGCCCTCTTGTTCGAGGTGCAGGGCTCTGTGCCCGTTCTGCTGCATCTCGCGTTCATGTTGCCTTCCCGCCCCCGTCCCACCTTGACACACAAACTCACACACACATACACAGACACTTGCGCACACGCGTGCACGTGCCTTCGTCCCCCACCCACCAACCACCAGGTGAAGGACCGTCACCTGGTGGCGCAGCGCATGCGCGCGCACATCCACGCGGACGCCACGCCCCTGCTCATCTTCCCAGAGGGCACGTGAGTCAGCCACCCCCCCACCCCCCCCCCCCCCCCC